AATGCCGACAGCTCTGACCATTTAAGAGAGACGCTAGAATTAGCTGAATTGCTTAAATGTTGCTGAAGTTACTCAACTCATCTTTATTTTTAATTACCATTCTTCTCATGACGAGGCTTCCAAACTTTTTCTTTTTTTTTTTTTTTACTCTTGACTTGTAAAACGAAAATTAACTGTTTGGCACTAAATCAATTTCGTCTGCAAAATCGAATCTCCAAGTATTAAATGTAGCATTCTTTTCCCCCAAAAGTAAAATCGGAAATCTTCAACCACATAACCTCACCATCGCGGTACGAATTCCCATATACATATAAATAAATAAAAATAGGTCATTCGATCGACCTCAACGTGCAGCAATTCCGCGTAGAAAAAGAAATTCTTGGCGATCCAAGGTTAATAAGGATGAATTTTCCCAGACGAACGGCGCACAAACTACGAGTTTCCCCGAGTAAACAAGGAGAAGGCCACGGAGAGGGGACGCGAAGTAACAAAAAAACCTGTCCTACTGGAGAATGGGTTTTCTTAATTTGGAGATATTTCGCAGTTGGTTTGCCATCGCAGGAAGACTAGAGCCCTACACGGAACGGAAAATGGTACATCGATTCATTCATCAATTTCTCACTTGGAAATAATTAATTTAGATTTGTCACGGTCATTACGAGGCTTACATTTTCGTATTCTTCGTCTCGTGTCGTACCAGGACCGAAGTGCGCTCCGCCCTCGGGGGAAATGCCGACCCGCGCAGGGCTCTCCCAGGCGCCAAGGTCGAGGGAGAATCCCTTTTATAGGAAACGGTCACCGGGTTCCCCCGTCAATCGAGTTTCCGCTGCAGCCGGTGGCATCGTGATTTCTTACGGCATGAACTTCATGGTGAGTCTCGTTCGCGTCGTTTTGTCTTTTCCTTTCTTTTCCTTTTCGTTGAGTGGGTTTGAAGATTCTTGTTTGTGTTTGGTCATCGATGACTTTCCGTTCATTTCGTGGAGATCGTCCACTCCCTTCTGCGGCACTTCTTCGAGAATAATATGATAATATCCATAAAAACGAAATTATAATAATGAAGAAAATGAACTATTGTGCACAATGAAAATGAGTCTGAAACGGAGTGCATCCTCGTCGTCAGTGGGTCTTCGGAGTGCTGGCGATGCTGACGATGAGCATCGTCGTGGGAAATCCGGTGTCTCAAGGGGGAGACTTCGACGGAGGCGGCGGATACGGCGGGGACGGCTACGGCGGAGGTGGATACGACAACGGGGGTGGCGGCTACGGCGGAGGCGACTTCGACGGGGGTGGCTACGGCGGAGGTGGCTACGGCGGCGACGGCGACGGCGGATATGGTGGGGGCGGCTGGAAATAGAGAGGAGAGTGGTACGTTCTCCGGTTCCTCCATAGAAACGTTCCGAATTTATTTGTCTTTTTTTTCCATTGAGTTTACAACAAAGATAAAAAATATTTAAAATGTTGTGGCATCATTTGCACTCAATCGTCTCCTCGACGGTTGAAAGACAATGCCTTAACTACAGTGAAATTCGACGCTTCAGCGCCTAACAACATTTATGTCCAAGGATCCGTTCCATTCCTGAAGGCTTTCGCTTTTTCTTTTTTTTGCCCTTTGTAGATATCGAGAATAAGGCTGAATGGACCGGCCCTAACCTGGACGGACTTGTTTTTTTATATATATATTTTTTCTTACCATCTTGTTATCTCTTATACTGTATATTTATGCCATATAAACACGAAATGCATCTGCGTTTCTCCTGGTTCTTCCCTTCCTCATCGTCGCGGGATCCTCACGGGCAGGAACGCTCGAAGAAACAAAAGAAGAAGGAAACAAATGTGGCAAACGTAGAATGAGGTGATATGGTGCACGGTGATTTAATAAATAAAAAAACAAGGAAAACATTACGGATGAAAGTGATGGTCATGAATTTTAATTTTTTTTACGCGCAAGCATAAGTTTTTATGAATTTTGTAAATAATTTATCATATAAGTATTTATACATTTTTGGAATTTACTTCTTCATAAAAGTATCCATCTTCAGAAAATATGTCGCGAGGAAACACTAATCGAGTTCTGTATGGCACCTTGGTACTCTCTCAACGGCCCACCCAGCGGCCCACCCAGCGGCTCACCTTACCAAAGAATCTGAAGCAAGGGAGCCGCGAAATTTTAGAGAGCTCATCGCGCCTTCCATCAAAACAAATAAAAAGTTACCTTTCGTGAAACAAGAGAATACGAGGGGCTTCCCAGAAATTCGTGAACTTCAGTGCTGCCCAAGCTCGATGCAGTATTTTTTTCTTGGTTCCGGTATTATACAACTTAATTAAAATTTGTCCCCCCCCCCCCCCCAGGAAGTGATGACGCCGAAAACGAGAAAAAATTATGGAACCGGTCGGGAAGAAATTCCGCGATGGAGCTGTTGCAGGGGTTTTCGCTAGGAGGTCCTCGAACACCAGCCGTGCGGTCCCGACCAGGCGCCATGTCATTTCCATCTGTTCGGCCCGTCGAAAAAGCACCTCGGTGAAGGCCGCTTTTCGTCTCGTGAGAACGTTGAAGCGGATGCGTGGATGTGGTTACGCATACAGGACCCTGCCTTCTACGCTGCTGGCATCCGTTGCATCCATGAGACAAATGTTTAAATCTTCGAGGCGACTGCGTCGAGAAATAGAGGTGCACACGCACTACCGATGCACGTAAGTGACGGGTCACGCGAAGAAATGCAGCACAAAACTCAGGTCAACTTACTTTACTTTCTGATCATCCCTCCTTGGTACGATGAATGCGCAAACGCGAAATCCACGATCGTCGCAGTCGTTGACGAGTCGCTTTTGAGGTCGCTGCGACCTGTGAGCTCGGCACCAGATCTTCCTTAAGTATTTAAGATGTATTTAAGAAGTATTTAAGAAGTATTTAAGATGGAGCGCGTTGTCTCGTTCCTCGCATGAGCATTGCATCTGACGAGGTCGATCCGCCCTTTCTTTCGATTCGTGGAGTTAAATGTTGCCATGCACAGGTGTGAAGGTGAGTGCCATGCCAAATCCTCGACGCAGACGAGGAATGGGCAAGCCAGTGTGAAAGGAATTACATTTCAAGTCGTGTATCATGTTTTCCTGGTTCGCACTCAAAAGTTTTGGTAAAGATTCTAAATACAGCGGAAAGTTTCAGAAATGTTCTGCTTTTTCATTGGTACCGACAATATATGCGACGTGAACTTTTAAAGCAATCGTAAACTCATGGCGTGCGATTTGAAATCTAATAAAACATAAGATACTTCACCTTTCCACATGAGAAGCGTCCACCCGTGAGCATGGACTTCACATGTGAACATTGAGCTTCTTTCTTCGTGCTGTGACGATACACACCCGACAGTAAGGCGGGTAGGATGGATTCTTGGAGTTCGACCGGACTCCCTCGTCGAATGGCACCGAAATGCCCTCGCCAAATGGCACCTTAATGGATAATTAGACTTAATGGATAATTGTTGCTTTGGTCGACAGGGTGGCGAAGCGAGTCTGTGGCACGAGAAAATCGCGCAAGATAGTCATACTATCGCGAGATCTGAAACTTGAGGAAATGCCCCATGCACTGAAAGATAAATATTTCCTTGGGACGAATTTCTTAGTGCGAATTCGGCGTCCGATCATCTCACATCGGATCGGAGCTGTCTTGAAAAAAACATTTTTCATTCCCAATTTTTCTCACTTTCTGTTCCAAACGATCTCGGTTCACCTTCATTGTATTTTTCCCGTTCAGGTGTCTCAGTCTAAGAGAGTCCTGGTTGGTATGAAGGTCCTAACAACCAATCGATGGAAATGCTTTTGATCACTAATTTCACAATTGAGCATTTGTGAATACTCCTTTGTGGACGGCTTTTTGAATAAAAGTGACATGAAGTAATATGAAAACCAATTTTCAATGGCTTTACCTTTCTTCAACCCCCCCCCCCCTCTCTCTCTCTCTCCGGAACTCACTAACGTTAGGCCTAGGCCTAACCAACAGACTGCCTTCGGGTCACCTCAAACCGTACCTTAATTTTTTTTTGAAGCTCAATTCTCGACTTACAGGACCGATTAGGCCTTTAAGGATGAATCCGTGGGCTCCGAGACATCTCGTAGAGGACGTGTAACGTTAGGCCAATCGCGGGCTTATTGGCGGACTGGTACGCTTACGCAAGGACAGTGTGTTCCAGGCACACCGCCAAGCACAGGAGTAGCAGATGAGAGCCTAGTATGTCAGGCAGCATCGCGACATGTCTGCACGTGATGTAGGCCTATCTGGAGTTCCTCGAACCATTTCGAATGTGTCTGAGGAGGAAATGCCTCTAGGAAGCATGAAATCCATGACGTGCGTCATCCTAGTAATTCAGGAATATGCGGATAAGATTCCATCTCCCACCAAATCGATCAATCGCTGCTAACCACCGCTTCATTCTCGACTCATCTCATGAACTCGGCACAAAAATGTCTGGCACATTGACAAATAAACAAAAATATTCAAACGCCGATACGAAGGTCGAAGTAGTCTTGAATCTGGCATAATTTTGACATGATATCTGGCAACACTGGGGGATGGGATCGGAGCTAGTTCTTATGGCGAAATGGTACAGCGCAAGCAACAAAACTTGCCACTGTTCATGACAAAATACTACTCAGAGAATGAATAAAATTAAGGAACCATAGAATAGGATCGAAATCAACGAACAGATGAGCAATGTATGCAAGATGATGTCGAGGGTGGCTCTGACAAACGCGAGATTGTATTACCGCTGTGAATGACGAGTGAGAGAGCACGTGTGACCCATCTTGACCTTAACTAGCGAGGTAGTGAGTCGTCAAGGCAAAAGCGCCCATTTTTATAGTGGAACGGCTCGCTGACGCCATCTCACGTTTAAGATTTACCCCCCTCTCTCCGACCCCCCTCGCCTGTCCCCCCAGCGCCAAGTCGGGCCAACACGAACTGCCCGCACCGGACCAAAAACCAGCACTGCACGACCTTCAATCGCTTAGAGGAGGCTTCGAGAAGATCTATCTGCTGGTGACCGTGTCTCCGAGTCTCTCGATCCAGCTCCTCCAGCGAATGCTATTTCCCTCTGAGAATGGAAGTGGAACCCATTCACTCTTCGCTCGTCGGATTCCTTCCCGGGTCTGGAAGGGTTTGTTAGGTGAAACCACTGGAAGCTCTTTTTCTCATTGGATTTACATTCCCCGAAGGTGAAGACAGACCCAGATGCTCCTTCATTGTCAGTGGGAGATGTCTCCTTGGACTGTTCAACCAGTTTAATCAAATACATTGAGGAGTTCGAGCTGTCTGCCCTTACGTTGTTTTTGGGAAAAGATCAGGTAATACATGAAAGTACTGCGAACTTAGAGCGATTTATACCTAATACCACAAAATTGGGGCTACTTAGGCGCCATCTCGCATCGCTTGTGGGAACCTTGCTTCTTCGAATAAGTAAGATAGATGGCTCACCCAGAAATAAGACAAAAGTTGGGTGCCGCACTAGCGTCGATGTGGAACCTACAGAATATTTGAAAGGCCTCTACTCAAGTCACGTGACCACAGCTCCGCCCTGAATTCATCGTCTGCTTTTTGTTGTCCTCATCCGCACCGTGTTGCCGTGTTGCCCTACGGCAGCACAACGTGCTCATGATGGAGTCTTCCTGAACTTTTTAGGCCTACTTGTGCTTTCCTCAGATAGCTTGCCTGACTGCTAAGGTTACGCTAAATGTTCCATCTACGGGTTGCTACAACTTCCTCGATGTCTTGAACGAGAGAGGTCCGTATCTCGGAGGAATTCTCTTGCAGCATCAAGCAACAGGAGGCCGAGACAAAAACGAAGTAGACAGCACATGACATCGACTCTACCTTCGAAGACTAAATAGACACAGCCCAGGGTCTTTCCCAAGTCCTTCGCCTTGTCTAGCCTGGAACCGCGGCGTAGGTGATCGCAGTGTTCTCATCGGACATTTATCTTGGAATATGTTCAATGCATGTCCAAAATGCATATTTATTTGCATATAGGGTATTCACTGGACAGCCCGATGGCCGTCAGTGGTAGACGCAAGCAAATGAGGACACGGTGAAAGACTTGCTACACTTACATCAGAGCAATCCCACACGATACACTTTCAGCCTATATAGGCCCACGAGATATCGTGCAAGCACATTCGCAACGACATATAAGTTGTTGTTGGTGGGTCGTTTGCCTCTCTGTAGCTAATTTGAATAAAGGACAAGCAGGCCTAAGAGAAATCAGCGACAAACTACCATGAACACGCTGCGTTACCTCAGAGCTATATGCGCGGAGGAGGGCGACGGAAACCAGACGATGAATTTGGGGCGGTGCCGTGGTCACGTGACCCGAGCAGAGGCCTGTGCAGCCTGTTGCGATGTCGGTCCACGCTACCCCGCTAACAGCCAACGTGGGCCCAATGCGTTTTCCTGCCTGAGGAGATAGACTGAGACGTATGGAAAGCCAGTCATGCGACGAAGAACAGTTATTGCTATTTTTGCACTCAGTCTTCGAACCTTCGTTTGGTTAAACCGTGAATTATTTGGGAGTGAGGCCTGCATTCTTCTGGGAATTTGTCAGTCTTCGTGAGGATTTGGAATGTAATATATCCTCCTTCGTCAGGCATGACATGTGATTCTGTTTTAAACTTGAATGTGACATATCATATAAATCAAGAGTCAGAAGTTTGTGTGAGTCACAGAAACGTTTCCTTTTTGTTCGTTATTTTTTTGTGTTCCCACGCCTATTGGTGATCCCCGGTGAATTTAATTTTTTTGTTCTTAAAGATGAAATGATGGGGCGCTGGGTGGGTCGCTGGGTGGCCCTGTGTTAGTCGATGGCTGGATCACTGTCTGGGTCTCTGGGCGAGTACCAACGTGTCATGCAGTACTCAATTCATGTTTCGAAGCGAAAAATATGCCGAAAGTGGTTATTTTATGTCTAATTAGATGCCTGAAAATGTACAAATAACTAAAATTAAATAACTAAATATGTAGTAATCCTCAAGGATGGGAAGACTAGACCACACCCGCGTCCCGCGGGATCCGCTTCGCTGGCAACAATATTTCAACAGACTCAGGGACCTTCAAGGACCCAACAGACTCAGGGACCTTCAAGGACCCAACAGACCCATATGAGCCATGTCAAGATTGAGCTAAGTGCTTGTGAGATAAAGATAATCAGAAAAACAGAGTTTTTCCTGTAGTTGGCAAGAGAAAAATGCATTCTTTGATACATGAAAAAAAGAACAACCGTGTGATTCTCAGGCGCGACTCAGTGAGTCTAACTTTTCGGTTCGTGAGTCAAATTTGGCTCATGAGCCATAGGTACCCCTGGGTTAAATCGTGAAATATTGAAGATTAAAACTAACATTCTTCTGTGAAGTCTTCAGTCTCCATGACGATTTTAAATATGAACTATCCTCCTTCGCCAGGCATGACATATTCTGTTTTTGACTTGAATGTGGCATGCCAGCACTTAAATCAAGAGTCATAAGTTCGTCAGGGTCACGGAAACGATCCTTGCAGCCGTTATTCTATTGTACCCTCACGCCTTTGGGCGTGGCGGTTTTCATCAAGTTTTTCATTCACTCCCTATGACAAGAGACGTGCAGCAACCACTTGCTGGAACTTTCAATTCCTTTTAATAAATAAATAAATCAAAAAAAATAAAAAATAAAATAAAAAAATAAAAAATAAAATATAAAAATAAAAAATAAAAAATAAATAAAAAATAAAAATAAAAAATAAAAAAATTAAAAATTAAAAATTAAAAATGAATAAAAAATTAAAAATAAATAACAATGTATGTATTTACTGATGCATGTATGTATTTATTCATTTTCTGTTTTTTTTTTTGTATTCAATTGTTAAATTCAAATAAAATATAACAATTTTAGTTTTAAGTTGAAATTTTCTACGGATTCTTTCTTCTGTCTGTCTCTGGGCCTTATTTTCTCCTTCAACGTCGAAAGAAATTGAAGGAAGCAGATCGATTCAAGGTTTGCACGATAATAATCAATTTCCGAATGTATTAAAGGAGATGATGAACGAGGACAAAACCAGAGCAATATCTCCCAATATCCGAATAAGAAAGAGCTATCTTAAAGTTGATTCTTTGCCATTGAAGGATGCCCAAGAAAGACGCATGTAAATTCGCCTGAAAATTCATGAAATAATTAGGTTCAAGTTCGCATTCATTCCTGACTAATAGTCCTTCATTTTGTTGGGGAAAAATTTATTTTAAAATTTTCCAAACTTCACCCTTTTCAAGATGAACAGATGGGGGACGAGTCTTCATGATGAATGCAAGGATAAAAATAAAATTTCCTACGCTAACGGGTTTCTCATGGGGCGGAGTGGTGAACGAGACGATCACGTGCTCATAGGGAATGGCTGGGAACTGCCTCGGGCGGATTCCTGGGGAATTCTCAGAAGCGAAGAATGAACCGGATTTCTCGATCCGTAAGAGACTTTCCTTGCGTCTGTCGTGTTGTGTCTTGGAATGACTCCGCTGCGCAAGATGATTTTCCTCTCAAAATTTTCGCTTAGCATGTTTCTGCCTATAATTAAATTCCTCGCTCCCCTTAAGCTACAAGTTTATCGATTGTTTGAGGGCAAATTCGTGACCTTAACTGTGGCTCGCCGTTTCTTAAGGTTCGAGTAGAGCAACTCGAATAGCGCAAATTCCTGTTTTGTTATTTTTTTTCCCTTTCATGATGATGTCGATCCGTCCCAATAGAATGAAGAGTTCGTGGTCCTCGTGTTCCATGCAGTTTCATTTCGAAGAAATCTTCCGTAAGGGTAGAAAATGAGTACTAGAAGGAGGACTCTCCGTCAGGACTACGTCGTCGCTTTCCATCCAATTCCTGGAAGGGAATTCAAGTTCTGCCATTGGATCGGATTTCAACGAAGAGGAATTTGAGGAACCCATAGACTCTAAATTCGATTTTCACCACATAAATGAAAATTGCCGTCGGCTTGGTGTATTGCCACGAGAATTAATTTTTATACGGCAATTCAAAGAAAGAGATCTGGCGTGAAACTCACAGGGGACCTCAAAAGCGACTCGTCAACGACTACGAAAATCGTGAATTTTACCTTATCTTCTTCATTGGATGAAGATTTGCGATTTTTTCTTTTTTTTTTGGCTTGATGAAGGGTGCGATGAGTTCGCTGACCTTTGGGTTGACCTTGCTTACAATTATAAGGTCACTGGCTGAGTACCAATGTGTCATGCAGAACTCAAGTCATGTTTTTTTTAGCAAAAAATATGTTGAAGTATCAATATATACAGGATTATACAGTATTATATATAAGTGAATGCCTGAATATGTACAAATAATTATTAGGGGAATTCATAAATATGTAAAAATGTATGCTGACACATAAAAAAATTGAAAAGCATGACAATCACATCCATCCATATATTCTTGCTCATGTTTTTATATCGCTCTCTCTCCCTCTCTCGGTGCACCATGTTATCTCACATCAGGATTTTCATCTCATTTTCCTTCTCCCAAGTGGAAAAGACCATGAAGATAAAGAACGAAACAAACGTGGGAAAAGCAAGAAGATTCCGTTTTTATTTGACATGAAGTAAGAGAGTGGGAAAGAATGAAGGTCGAAAGGAATGGAGGCTGTCGAGGCCAGCCGTTCATCTGCATCTGCAGAGGAAAAGAGAAAAAGCAAAGCTGTCAGACAAGATCAAGAAACAAGTCCATGGAGGACATTGCATTTTCAACGGGTGCAGAATGCTCAGCGCAACGTGAATCAACGTGAATCCAGCTCAATTCAATGGAATGTGAATTCACTGGCACGAAGCTAAAGCAGCTCCGTCGTCTATATTGTGGCTACTGAATACTAATGACGTCATTATCGTTGCGAAACGAAGCTGAATTGAATCACTCTGGGTAATTAAAATGGATTTGGCAGAGTAAAACAGCGGACTTGACAATAACCCAAGTCTGTAGACTTCCGATATTGAAAGGGAAGAGAAACTGTGGACGGGACAGACTAGTAGCGATAACAATTCCAAGCTTCGTTCATGTCCTTAGTTATCCACGAGTTGAATTTCAATGCGGTTAATAATTTATTTTTCAACCGAAATCTGTCACGGAGCTGATCGACTGCAAACAACGCCCCATATTTTAAATTTTTTTTATCTCTGGCTGGATGAAAGAAAAGAAGGGAAAATTAACTTCTTGGCGTTTCTGTGAATAAAGACGAAGGATGGGGCCGGAGAACTTACCACCAGCCGTTTCCCCAGCCTCCGTAGCCTCCACCCCATCCAATGTCGTCCCAGTCTCCCCACTGTGGCATGGGCTTTCCTACGACGATGTCCTTCGTCAGCATCGCCAGCAATACGAAAACCCACTGCCATCAAGGATATGTTTCGTTACGGACTCGGAGTCTCGGGGCATTCAATGCTTGTTTTCCTTAATGATTATCGTTTTAGCACTTTCACTGCCTAGTTTTGAATAACGGAGCATCTGCCCCTTGCTGGGCTTTTATCATAGCTTCAGTCCCTTGAGAAAACTCTGTTTTTTTGGGTCATATATGAATTTCATTCAATTATCGTTTTAGCACTTTCACTGCCTAGTTTTGAATAACGGAGCATCTGCCCCTTGCTGGGCTTTTATCATAGCTTCAGTCCCTTGAGAAAACTCTGTTTTTTTGGGTCATATATGAATTTCATTCCATTTCATTCTAATGTATAATAAAGAATGAAGTTTCGTAATAAGAGTAATAAGTATTTAAAAAAGTAATAAGTAAACTCAGTCAACGAAAGATAATTGAAAACAAATACAGGAATGGACGAGTAAATAAGAGATGAGACTCACCAGGTAGTCCATGTCGTTGTAAGGAATCGTGAATTGGACGGATAGTGCAGAAACTCGAATGATGAAAAACTCCGAAGATCGTTATATATGTATAAATGATTTGGGGATTCCCCTTCGCCCTTCGTGCGTGTGAGAGTCCTGCGCGGAATGATCATGTCCCTTGAGAGTGGAACATACTTTTGTTGTGGGATGGGGCAAAACAAAAGATTCAAGCAAGATAACTTTGAAATTAACGTGAAATAATTGTTCTATAAATTTATACGTGAAAAACCTGGAAAAACGTACGCTGCACAGGACTGTATGGGATTTTTCTTGCCGCACAGCACTCTAGCCTTCATGCGAAGGCGAATCAACTGCGAATATCTCCAAAGTAAGAGGTGGGAAACCCCATATTATTATTCTACTCTGATCAGGTATTGTTTTACGTCTTCTTTCCGTGGCCTTC